CCCCCTCACCATCTCTTTTGAAAATTCATTTCTCCCGTGGAAACGTCCCGATTACTCGTCGCGTACAAAGGAAATTAATAAGGTACGAATGGGTTGAAGCGCAATAATATCATCGGACCAAGTTAAAATCGTTAACCCGGTACTTGGAACCACAGCAGCCTCTTCTCCTCCTTTGATCTCGTACTTTTTACGATCGTCGGTGAAAATTCATTCAAAGAGAATTGAGAAATACCACGATACCCGAGGCAAATTCGTTCGCCGAATCTCCCTTCTCTCGAAGCATTCCTATTCTCCTTAATCGTAGGCGGACGTTTCGAACGTGAAAATCTCTCTCGTTCGGTCTTGTTCGGTTCTCAATGGAGTATTTTCCGATATCCGGAGGAGAAAATCGCTGGCGTTTCACCCCTTCGACGCTTGGGTAAAAAAGTTAAGCAGCAGCAGAGAGACGATTTCTAGAGACTCGAGAGAAGGGAAAGAAAAGGAATGGAGGAGATGGACAAGAGGAGGAAACGGCCGCCGAAGGAGAAGTTGGGAGAAGCAGAAGATTTCAGGACTGCTTAAATTTCGCCGGATTACAACCATGAACAGCAGAACGTGAGAAAGAGCTGAGAGAGTGCGGCGGTAGGAGGAAAGGGGAGGACAACACGTGGGTGTGCAAGTGGGCGAGTGTGCGTGTACGTGCATGCAGTGTGTGCGTGCGAGAGGGAGAGAAGCAAGAGGACCAGACTACGTATTGATCTCACAAGTTTCCCAACGTAGAGCGTTCGCTCGCATAAAACAGGCCAACATCGCGAACGTGGTCGTTATACCGATATCGTCCACTCGCTTTTTCGACTATCTCCTCCCGTGGCTATATCATCGAATGCAAAAACGCTTAAGCGACGTCTGTCAAAGGTCTCCTTCCGCTTACATGCGTATCTTCTTTTCCTGTCATCCACAACGGAGGTGGACGTAGGCTAAGATTCCTCTTTCCACACGGTATTATACATACATACACTCGGCCTTACGTTCCTTCGGAGCGTTCATTTCGTTCTCGTGCGACCATCGATCGACCGGAAGTCTATCGCGAAACGAGAAAATTTTACACGACAGACGATCAAGCACGTGCGTACACGAGTATGGATGCGGAAGCGAATCAGTTGAAGAGTGAAAAAAGCAAGATAAATAAATAAACAAATAGCTAGATAGATAAATAGATAAACGGTAGACAGATAGAGAGAGTGTGTGCGTGCGCATGAGTGAGAGAATGAGTGAGAGAGAGAGAGAGAGAGAGAGAGAGAGAGAGAGAAAGAAAGTTAAAAGAGCCACTGCCTTAGCGACAGCAGGATTTGTGCTAGAAACAAGGCCTTAGAAAGTAACAAACCAGAAACATAATTAGAGTTAAGTAAGTCTGTTGTTGTTAACCAAAAATGAAAAGAAAAAAGATAACGGTACTTAGAGGAATCAGGAGGACAAAGCTGTTGACGTATTGTAAAACTAATTAGCAATTGTATTTAAGCGCGTAACGTAAATACATATATACTAACCCCTCGTGCCCGCAATTAAATAGGCGTGTATAACGCATAGTTTTACGTAGGATTATTAAACGTCGCTTGTCGCAGAAAAAAAAACGAAAAAAAAAAACGAAGAAAAAGATAGCGAAAGATAACGAGAGAACGATGAAACATAAGAGGGAAAAGGAAAAAACGGGAATCGCTGGTTAGAGAAAGAAAAGAGGAGAAAAAGGAGGAGAGAGAAAAGCCCGGGAAAGCGGTGAAGAGAACACGTAGCTTTTGCCACACGAGTACCGGTACTCGCGAACAATTTTTTATCTTTCTCCTTGACTTTGTTTTCTGCTCTTACCTTACGAAAACAAAAAACGAAACGAAACGAAACGAAACGATTATCTTTCTCCTTGACTTTGTTTTCTGCTCTTACCTTACGAAAACAAAAAACGAAACGAAACGGAACGGAACGGAACGGAACGGAACGGAACGGAACGAGGCGAAGCGAAACTAAAGGAGAAACAGGGCGAGCGAGTGATGAACGAACGAGTGTGTGTGTGAAAGAGAGAGAGAATGGTTGAACGGACGACATGTTCGATAGAGGAAAATGAGATTTTCGATAGCGCCATACTCGAAAGCTACCACTTTGAATCCGATGTTAGCGTAGCGTACGTATCGTAAGCTGTCGACATTTATACTATGAACTATGAGTAAATTGTAGCGATCATTGTGAACATAGTTAATAGTATAGATTAGATAACCGCACTAATTGTACCGAAAAGTGGACTACATTTAATTCCGAAGAAAATAATTATCGAAGTCTATTTCAGAGCAACGCGTACGTTTTACGCGAGACGAGTCGAGTTAAGCGAATGGAAGAGTGATCAACGATCGGCATCTGACAAAAACAGAATGAATAGTACGAAATGAAGAGAGAGAGAGAGAGAGTGCGTGCGTGTAAGAGAATGAAAGAGGAAAATGACGCAGTTTTGTCGGCAATTGTTACCTTCGGAGGTAGAGGAATAAAGTAAAATAGAGATTGAGCAAGTTGTGCATGTGTCTCTTCAAAATGCATCGCGGGGTAAGAACAAATCGGTTTATTCTTCGTCTAAAATTCTCCGGACGTTGATCGTTCCTT